TTGCAACAATGATTCAGCAACGTTTCGCAATCACCTTGCAATATTGTAATGTTTCAGTGAAATTATTCTGCAATGTTTCTGCAATCTTTCTGTGCTGTATGGACTTAGCTATCTTTTCACGATCTTTGCTATTGTTCATGTCAACGTATCAAGATTAACTCACATCACGGTATTGTAAAGCCATTAAATCCTTTTCTATATTGCCCATCAGTAAGCGCACAGCCCTTGTCAATCACTAAAAATCCATGCTTTTGCTGGCAACATTTACAACATAAAGCGTGCAACATTACGACATAAAGTGAAATGACATCGCTGTTATTGGAGAATGTAAAATAACTGATTTTCTCGATCGGTGCTAACAAATTCGCCAGATATCAATATTTCGATTGCTGCAGCGATTTCGAGTACACGTATATGTTCTCGAATCGTACGCCGTGCGAACTTTCCAACAAGCTTATCAGCACGTTCGTTTTGCCGCAATTTGACAGTCCGCAGACAACAGCACGTATAGATGCCGGTAGCATGTCGTCATGCTTGCACATCTCTTTATTGGTTTGCACTTTGTCATCAAGATTCGTCATTTTGATCGCCCGCGATTGGCGCACGAACTGCATATTTTCTCTTTCCACAAAATACTGAAAACGATATCGCGAGCGGGCCTATTTATAGAGCTGCGTAGAGCGAAATCAATCAGTAATCAAAATGTTTCTCGTCGTGTCAGATGATCTGCACAGTTCAATCTCAAAAGAACTGGAATACATATCGAAAATTGTTGCTAGAGTTTGAAAATTTCATAGATCTGTTATGAAACAGATTATCAGAACGAGCAGATTCGGAGGTACATCAGTGGCTTTGATAAAGAATTGCAGCGAATGTCGTCGAGAGGCTTGTTAAATCGTGCGATAAATGCGCTTCCTTTCGAACTACATATTCCCGGATATCAGTTTTGCGGTCCGGGAACGCAATTGGAGAAACGATTGACTAGAGGTGATCAAGGAATTAATTCATTGGATGCTACGTGTCGCGAACACGACATAGCGTATTCGCACAGCAACGTCTAGCTGAATAACACGCGGCTAACAATATACTCGGAAACGCGACGAGTGATTCAACTCTCAGAGAGACACAGCAGTTTGGATAGCTAGCAGTTTGGGAAGGCCAAAACGAAGATTGATATGAGTTTGAAAACAAGAAAGAAGAAGAGCAAGCGGATGCTTCCGACAGCGAAACGTGGCGGCATCCTGCCCGTTCTACCGCTGCTCAGCATTTTCGGGTCATTGGTCGGTGACGTGGCGGGAGTCGCCAAAGCTATAAACGATAACAAAGTAACGCAGCGTCAGCTGGAAGAACTGCAACGTCATAATCGCGTCATGTAAGACTGCGGCGTTTATCTTGCTCCCTACAAGCGCGAACAAGATATCGCGCGTAGAAAAAAAAACATCAATAAAAAGTTAAAAATGCCAAGGGGAGTAACTACTGATGTGCAATTGCAACAATTTGCAAACCGTATGCGCATATCCATATTTTAGAGGCATTTTTATGCATATTACATTAACGATCGAAGGAATACGTTAAAACGAGAGCGGTATTGTAAATCTGAACAATGTCGAGGAACCTGGTACGCATTGGGTAGCGTATGCGAAAAGAGGGAATCGCGTCATGTATTTTAGACAGTTTTGGCAATCTTCGATCGCCGAAGGAACTTGAACGGTATCTGGCAAACAGTGTAATCGAGTACAATCGCACGCCTCATCAATGTTACAATCAAAACAATTGCAGGCAGCTTTGTTTACAGTTTCTACGAACGATTGACAAGCAATTTAAGGACCGACATTGCGCTGTTTAAGTGCTCGTTTGAAACATGTCGTTGACGTTTACACTGACAAGCAAGAGTAACTGTCCTCGTCGTGAGCTACTTTCTAGTGGTAGATTTGGGTGACGGCGATTACGAGCTTGGTCTGACGGACTTTACTAAACGTACTATTCTAGCCAATGTAAATTCAACAAACAACAAGTTTTACTATGGCAACGAGGAAATTGTCATTCCCGAAGGATACAAACTGCGTGAAATACAGGGTATTAACAAAAGGTACCAAATTTTAGGAGTAATTAAAACTCGTTAAAACAAACCAAAAAGTCTTAATGAACAGTACTCCGAAAACCTTTTATTTCTGAGCATTTTCTCTCTCTCTGTGAAAAATAGAAAATAAATTAAATCTACAATAAATGTTCAATGTGTCTTCGGCTCATGTCAATACACAATTTGGTATGTTTCATCATTGAAGATCAAAGATTCCAGGTTTATTTCGTATTTGTTGATAACAATAAGTCTCTTAGTCAGTTCATTCACGGACGCTCGTATGTGACCACCTAATTACGCACGGATTGTTGTATTTAACTTTGGATTGTGAACCGTGTCTAGTTTTGTGTTATCTGAAAAATGGCCAATTTTTACACAAATTGTGAAATGACGGTATTGGAGAGTAAGAGAGAGAGAGAGAGAGAGAGAGAGAGAGAGAGAGAGAGAGAGAGAGAGAGAGAGAGAGAGACAGAGAGAGTTTGAGCGGGAAGACTTTTCGAGCGAAAATTAAATCAACGTGAATGTTCACGTAACAGATCACAATTTTATTTAGAACAATTTACAGAGTTGATAATTTCGCAAAAATGTGTAACAAATTATAAATAATGAATTTAATACAGCATAAATAAACGCGAATGGAAATCAACGTTTCCTTTTTACAGGCGAACACTATTTCGGATTTCT